GGGATTTATTGGTAATAGAAGCACTTAATCTGCTATCGGGATAGATCCTGTAACTGGTTACGCTCAAAAAGCAACACTACAACGCATACAGTTGACCTCGTAAATATGAGTATTTGAATTAATTCACGGGTGTTTCATACTAAGGATGCACGGCCTGTAAGGAAGCATGATAGAAAAACACAGTAACTTGCCATGCGTTTTATTTGCCAAGACCTAAAAATGTCAGAGAAATGTATGAGACGTGGTTGCACTGTTGCTAGCATATTCTTCTAACGCAGAGAATGCCCTTTAAAACACAATTAACTCCTTTAGGTTTAAAGTTTAAGATTTTTAAAAGACTCTGAGGATTTCACAATGCCTTAAAGTCACAGAAAATCTACTGCCTAAAAATCTGCTCCCTCCCTAACCAGAGATAACCTTTTAAAGCAAGACAGAGCAATTAAACAGTAACTGGATTTCCTTAGCAAATTACTTTAGGACTTAAGGAATGAAATTTGACCATGGTATCAGACTGCCCAGTTGTCAAGATGTGCACCCTCTGGCCTTTCTTTCGCTCCATCGTCCTATTTGCTTGCTAATATGTAACTCCTCACTCCGAACCCATGTGCTGGAAAACTAAGATAAGCTCATTCATGGTCTAGTTAATGTCAGTCACCAAGACATTTCTCTGTATTCTTAATGGGGGAAGGGTTCTTCTCAGCTCTAGACACTTAGCTGATGTCTGTATCTTAAAGAACAAATGCTTTGTTTTGTATTTTGTTTGTTTTTTATAATTGTGTCTCTTACTTCTCTAAGTGCAAAAAAGAACAGAGGAAAGATGGAGAGAAATCACTTTAAAAGAGTGTGTCCATTAAGTCCAATTTTCTGAGAAATATAGAATGCAAAATTAAATTAAATGAATGAAATGGGAAAAAACACTTTAATCATTCAAAGTGGAATATTAAAAAACTCCATTTGCAGGCTGTTATTAGACCCTTTTAAAAGTTGACTTTTCAGCACTGCAAAGTACGAGATGGCTAATGTGCCCTAAAATAACCAAAAAGTTTCAGGAGGAGGTTTATTTTTTTTAGATGGAGTGATATGAGATATATACTTCACATATGAGCATGCACCACACTTTTGGTCTACAGCTAATCCGGTCTGAAGCAAATATCAAATTGAGCTCTATTGATATGCAGATTAAGTTGCAATCATGGACAACTCAGCAACTACATTTCATTGCTCACAACTTGTCGACACAGCCGGTGTTTAGAGAGAGCAGTGCACATCAGCACATCGTGCCATCACCACAGGCGACAGGAAGCAGCTTGAAGTCTTTCCCCCCCCCACAATACTGAGAGCAACAGAGCCCTTCTATCTTTCATCTCCTCAGACTGCTCTTCCCTCCCATTTCTCAGCATATCCTGCCTATCAGACCACAGCTATGGAAAGCAGGTGGTGGAGAGTGGGAGCTTGATCCATAAACAGAATCCCCAAAGGGGTTTCATGGGTTCCTTTCAAGACATGAGAAGCTTGTCACTCTCTCCACACACTCCTACTGTGTCTTAAAAATTAAAACCTTCTAATGAGATTTTGCATCCATTTGCGCAACATTTTTGATTCACTGCGCCAGCAGATTTTCTTGGCACGCTGAACTGATATTGATGGGAAAATAAAAGAAGCTGGAGGGTTTTGCTGGTCAATTCCATGTTACTGTAATCAAAAGGGACAACTTAAAATCAAAGACAGAACAGTTTTCAATTAACCGCAGAGGGTGATCGACATCTTGATGGAAAATCTGAGTCATGCCAGCATCATCTAAAACCATGGATTCAGGCGGTTGACTGTAATGGACAGAGAGGCAGATCCTTTGAGTGTGCAACAGTGAATGCGTATAAAAAGATCACACAAAGAAGGTTTATACTGAATTTGGCTCCGAGTGCTAAACCCAGACTCATCTGGGCAGAGTTGGGACTCCACAGACTTAGCCCAGCTGTCAGAGGCTTATCATGCAGCGGGGCTGAGAGGAGCAGCTCCGGCCCACTGCGGGGATTCAGGGGCCAAAACCACATTATCGAAAATGATTTAGCAAAACTGAACAAAAGCTCAGCTTCTGTGAAACAAACGGTGTCCCAGCAGCAGCCTGAATTACTGACGCCAAAAACAGATCACGCTGAAAAGAGAGAAGCTACATTTCCTTTCCCCCTGCTATGATATGCATTTTGTTTATTTATCAATCATGTTTTCTGGAACAGAAACATTTGTGACTATCCATTCATCAGACATCTAAAAAATATTACCTCCAGCCATAAAGTCCTTGAGCCCCGGAAAAATCTCAGTTCTACTAGAAAGATGTCCTGAGGTGGTTATGACAACATATATTAACATCCACGGGACAAGCCTGGACCCGTGGTCCTTTTACCTTAGGGAATTTGCCTTTGCTTTGTTAAGCTCAGCTTCATGCACTATCTTCAGAAGCACATTAAGAGAGATGGAAAAGGATAATCAAGGGAGGGGTTCTAAAATTAAAATCAAAGTGCAGGACAGAAAGCCTTGAATTACTAAATACATATTCTCTAAACATTCACTTTTCATTATTTTGTCTTGACTTGTCTTGCAGAATAAGCAAATCATTACTGACGGTATCTGGTCTCTAACATGAGGGCAGATTTGTCCCCTGTTTGGTTTCCATGTATATTTTCACTGAAATAACCTCTGTTACTCACTAACTTACATTAAAAACGTTAAACATATATGGGTGCAATGGAAACTTGGGGTTGATCCTGCCTCTCAGACCACAGTTAATCAAGTCTGTAGTAAATATCAAAATGATTAAACTTTTCCCACGAGGACCAGGAAAAGGTAAAAATCACACTCCAATTAAAATGTTTAGAGGAAATCCTTTCTGTCATTCAGCTTTAAGTCCCACACAGAAGCAACTGTTCTCCAGGAAAGGTGTACTTAACTCCCAGATGTTTTATCACATATTTTGATCAATAAAAAGAAAATGACTATTCCTGAGACTTTACTGGCTACAGCACAGGTGGACTGAGAACAAACTTGAACAGCTTGAAATTGCTTTAAATTTGAAGCAGGAGAGAAGCTATGTAATTTTCTGAAGTTTACAGCATTCTTTTTGCATGCAATTCATACCACAAAGGTCCCAAGGACATAGGATGTTATACCCTACAAGCAAAGTATAAGGAGGACAGTTTTATTAATAACAGGATAGAAACATACAGAGGGAAAAAACCTGCCGAGTCATCACCTGAGCTGTGGTGGGGATATTATAGTATACTCTAACCTTGCCACTGCATGTGAGTGCATGTTCTACCTTACTTTTGTTGTACCCTAGCACGCTATGGGGAGTAAGATAATCCCTCCGAACCTGGAATTAAACAGGAGGGGAAACAAGGGAGAAGGAGTCTGCACTCAGTGTCACAAATGATTACACGCCGATAACGTGGAACATGTTGACAACCCACATATCAGATGTTATTGCAGGCCAAAACGGTCGGGAGCATTCATTAGCTCAAGGTACTCATGATGACCTGAACTTATCCTGTTACATGAAGTAGAAATAACAAACACAACATACTTCCCAAGGTGGGCTCTGCAGAAATGCACTGAAGAGGAAAAAAAGAAAATCCTCTCCATTTCAGGTGCTTTCGTGAAAGGGAAAAAATGTTCCGCTCAGGAATTTGCTCTATTTTGTATTGTGCAGAACTTCTCACTAGAAAACAGAGTTATGAACTTGTGCGGGGTACAGTCCTTGTACTGAACAAACGCTTTGAGACAAATGGTAGTCTCTTTTTGAGACCAGGAGACTTTTCCGCCCACCTTCAGTATGGCATATAGTAGAGATTTTAACTCTGAGGGATCTTTCTCAGCCTCTTTGTGACTCGGTAAAAGCAAAAAGTAAGGTGGAAGTAAGTGCCTGGCCTGAAAAACAAAGAGCACAGCGGCTGCATCTGTCACTGAAGACATCCGTAATGCTGACTGACTGGCTGGAGGCAGACAGGGATTCAGTTCTATAAACAACTACCTGGGAATGCCAGGGCTTGTGTGTGCTCAGGGAAGCCCACCTGAATGCACTTGAATTGCCAGGAGACAAGGGGAGGTCTGGAGTCCACAAAACATAACCAGACAAATTTTGAACATCGAGAGCAAAGCACAAACACATCAAACATTAAAGCTAATTCCAGGTGCCTCATTATTGCAAATGAAGATGTTTCTGTCCTTCTGCTTTTTTTTCAAAGCGTCATGTTTATCTAAAACAGTTAAAAGATATACACAAATCTACGTGGCAAATTTTGTTTAATCATTTTTCATTCACTATTTGGCCAAAAGCAATTTGAACCCTTCAGCTACTTTAAAAGCACACTGGAAAATACATATATATATAGTTAGAAATATTCTGCAATATTTTACAAAAGAAAAGTGTCAGGAACAAAGACAGGAAGCCAAAGTCATACTGATTATGGACTCAAACACGATCTGAATTCATCACATCTGTTGACACAAACAAAAGAAATTCCAGCGAACAGTTGGGACACGAACAGTAACTTTTTACTTCTTGAAAGGAATCTAATTCAAACTTCAAGTGAGGAGGAGAATGTTTTGGTCTTCTTTTTTTTCCCAGTTGCTAAACATGATACAGCACGACTGTGTGTCAGTGTACACAGTTTAGCTGCTCTACAACACAGGCGCTCTGCAGGCTCTGTCTGGGGATGCAGGGCGGCCACGAGCGCAGCTTAAATCTCATTAAAAAAATGTTCACTGCCTGCTTCACAAGCTGCAGTGCAGTATGCGAGGAGCCCTCACGGATGGGTCATCCAACTCTTTATCAATATGCTGAGACATTTAGGCACCGCCACACAACACAATTCCCACGTCAGGGGACAGCATTTTCAAGAGTTGTTGCTGGGCCTGACAGTAAGCACATAACAGTGATTGGGGATTGAGTCAGACACATATTATTTGAAATCCTCTTATAAAGTCGAAAAGTCTAAAAAAAGATTATGGTGAGAGATGAGAAAGTAAATCTAATTGCAGGCTCTCAAAGACAAACTACCAGTGTGGGTTACAAGTGTGGCATCGAGGGGGATGACAAAGAGGGAGAGAGAAACACACAGAGATCCATGACAAATAACCCTAGTGAGGTGATAATAGATGCTCTGATGGAAACTCGCTCAGCAGCAGAGGAATTCTACACAAACATCAACCGCCCCGGCAGAGAAGTGTAACTAAGAGCCAGCGTCTGCTTTCCAAGTCATCCTTCATTAGCACCATATCCACCTGTTGGCACCATTTTTAACTGAAGTAACAGATTTGTGCTTAGAAATGACAAATGACAAAATTGGTACAGGGGCCACTGAGGTACTTGTGGGAAAAGAGGGCCCCCATTAGAGCATTTCTTTGTATTCACTCATCACAGCTGAAGGGTGCTAGAAAGGACACACTGTCAGGCACGCCGTTTCCCACTAATCGGCAAGACCGACATGATTGCCTCAAGCCTTTCATTGGGCTGGAGGCTGATTAAAAATCTATCTTAGAGGGAAGGTCTTCCCTAATTGCTCCACTAATTAGTTATTTGCTAAATCAATCAATTCTATCTTAAAAAATAATGAGTGATTATGGGTCGGGTGCTACATAGCGGGCCTGCCCACAGAGTCATTCCCAGTAAATCTAACAAGAAATTTTAATAAGCTGAAAACTTTAATATTCAAATCTTTTGTCTGAGGTACCAGTTGACTACAAATCTTCAGAGCACCGCAGAGACAAATGCTATCTACAGAATAAACAGTGCATGGTTCCCACTCATTTGCATGCCAATTTTCTTAAGTATGCTGAAATACGATACAGTGCAAAAGCACTCCTCGGTAAATCTCTCCCATCTTTGCACGCACCTTTTGCATACTAACTCTACTTAATTAGGCACACAGTGATATGTCTGAAAGCCTATGTTACCTTTGAGAAATCTGAAATTCTGAAATTACAAGTTGAGATGCCGTAACGAATTTAAATGTCTTAGCTATATGTCAGCATAACCCAGACTCAGTTAAATGTTCATGGCACAGTATAAGTTCAATATGTAGAGAAAATAACTTACCATTATCCTCAATAGTGAAATGAAAGATGTCACTTGTGGCATTGTCACCGTCCCTCAGAACATAGCATATTTTCATATCATTAATCTCAGCTGGAAAGAACAAAAACAAAGTAACGGTATGAATAACAGCATTCTATTGTCCCTTAAAAAAACACATTAATTATTTGGGGTAAATAATGACAACCAGGAAACTAGGTTTTATTTGTTCTGGTTAGACTGTTTGTCAGACAAAGCTCACAAAGCTGTCTTTACGATGCAGACTAAGGCTGCGTGTTGAAATATGCACTCTGATAGTGTCAGGGGGATCCTGAAAGATTAAACTGCCTGATAAAAAGGACTGTATACGTATTAGACTCATGATACTGAACATCAAAAATGCATCCAAACCTCTCACTCAATAATTCAGAGATCTCTCACCCTGATGATGTGATTGTTTGATTCTTTGCATTCTTACAGTCCTCTAAAATTTGATGGAAGAAAAAAAAAAAACTCCCATTATCTGCGTACTAAAAATGATAGATAGATTGAGAAAAATGTCAAATTTCAAGAAGAAAATCTCTATCTGTTTACACTTATGAAAACTGTTTATTAGATTCAGAGTCTCCTGGGGTAGGCATTTCACAGTGACTCAGTAAATAAAAACGCAGGGACACAGACTGAAAACTAATGGTACTACACTGATATTTACCCATCGCGAATGCAACCCTCTGGTCTGTTTGAAATGTAACTTCTGCACTACGCTGTGCTGTTTACAAAGTCAAGATTTGCTTTGAGCCAGCCCAACTTGTCTTCCTTCCCTTGACATGTTTACAATTTAATATTATCTATCATTATGTCTGCAATTCTCTTGGCTTCTGTTTGGAAATATGTCTCTGGTTATGTATAAATCACCATCGGTTATTTCCCAAAGTAAAATGCATTAGGCACTGTTAGAAAAAAAAAGCACTCTGGAGACTTGTTAAGCCTGAGGCGCAGCCATGCTTCTTCTATGGTGCTCTCTTGTGTGAAACCTTTAAAAAAACCTTCATGTTCAGATGTGTATTTTTTAAGGGAGTGCATTACACAGCAGGTAAATGTAAAGAGATTTTAGCATGAAATACCTCTGAGGATTAAATGCCTTGACTGAGTAGTGTCTGCGGGAGGTTTCAAATGTTGGGGAATGTCACAAGATCATACAGTGATTTCACAACTCATTTCTTACCCTGTGTGAAGCTGGTGATGGTGGCATTTCCTCTGCCCAGGTTAATCATGTAACCGTGTTCTGGGGCTACTGTTATCCTGAAGCTTACAGAGAGCTGGCTGCTGTCTCGATCCTCCGCTTTCAGGCTCTTACCGGTGATCACGAACCCCAGGTGACCCGTTTCCAGAACACGCAGGGTTGGAGCACCTTTGTTCACTATAATCTGAGGCACCCCGTTATCCACAGAGAGAACAGCGATCTTCATCACTTGGGGTTTTCGAGTCTCAAACACAGTGTCAGGGAAGACGTAGAAATCTGTGTGGGTGCCATCAGTCACAGTGAAGGAAAAGCTGTCCTCCGGACTCTCTGTGCCGTCGTGTCTGTAGCTGATCAGGTTCTCATTCAGGTCCTGCTTTGTGAAGGAGGTAACGGGCCGGGTGTTGTTAAACAGCAGGCGTCCATGAACTGGGATCTGAGTAACTGTGAATTTTAAAAGTCGGTCCGCAGTGTCTCTGTCCTCGACTGTTAGCTCAAAAGGCGTGATGAGTTTATTCTCCCCCTCTGTCACCACCAGGCTGTGGATGGTCACTACGGGCTTTTTGTTGTCAACATCAGTGATGGAGATGCGGAAGGTGCGGAACACGGGATTGTAGCCATCAGTTACTTCAAATTCGAAGCTATCCATTTTCACCTCATCATCAGCAGTGTGTATGTAAAATATTTTGTTGCCGGCCAGCTGGAGCTGTGTAAAGGACGAGATGGGCATGCCGGGTGTATCTGTGCATTCCAGGTGTCCTCTTATCGGAGCGCGAGTGATTGTGAAAACCAAGTGTTCATCTGGGCTGTTGAGGTCAGTCGTCCTGAGAAGGTCCGTTGTTAAGGTCACCCTTCCACCCTCTTTAAGGGACACCCCTTTACTGACCACATCTGGGAAAACCATGTCAATGCCACCAATTGTAATGTAGAAATATCTGTCAATCAAAGGGTTGATGCCATCTGTCACATCAAATTTAAAGAGGTCACGGATTCCCTCTTGACCATTATGGATGTAAACAATCAAATCCTGATCTACTTCACTCTGTGTAAAATTCATCCCAACTGTGATATTTTGTAACGTCCCAGAAGGGGTTGTTCTCTGCAAAAAGCCCTGACCAGGTCCATATTTAATAATATAAGTCAGCATGCTGTCTTCAGAGTCCAGATCAGTAGCTTTTAAAACATTATTGTCGACGACTTTAACCTCACCTATCTCTATCTCAAGGCCGTTGTTGATGGCCATCCTCGGGGTTTCATCGTCCACTGGGATAATCATGACTACTACCGTTTTCTCTACATTGAACTTTCCGTCTGTGAGGAGAATGTCAAAGCTGTCCTCTGTGGTTTCAGAGCCATCGTGCTCATACACAATAGTGGAGGCCTCCCTGATCTGATCCAAGGTGAAGTTAGACAGAGGGAAAGTGCCAGCGGTGATCTGATTGAGAATAAATCCGTGCCTGGGGGGTTTGGTGATGAAGAATGTGAGCTGATCAGAAGGGAGATCTGCATCGGCCCCGTTCAGAATGGGAGTGTCAATGATGATGTTCATGCCCTCCATAACGACAAACTCTCTCATGTAGATCTCGGGCCTTTCATCATTAGAGGGGATTATGGAGATGGGAAAAAAGTGCCTTTCAGAGAAATTGATGCCATCAGAGCATCTGAGGGTAAACCTGTCCTCCACCGGCTCAACTCCTTTGTGAATGCTTTGAACATAGTAAATGTGATTCTGTCTGATGTCCTTAATAGTGAAAGCACTAATAGCTGTTCCGGACCTCGATTTTTCTGAACCAGGGGCAGGAGAGATATTCTCCACATACCCCGAAGTTGGCTGTACGATAATTGTACAAAGGAGGTCATCGACGCGGGTGTCCCCATCACTGGCGCTTATATGAAGGATCTGAATGACGTTTTTCTCCCCCTCAGTAACAGTGAACTGTTCCCCCACAAAGACCTCCGGAGCCTGGCTGTCCAGGGGGAGAATAGTGACGTGCACTCTCACACCTGTGATTTTATTTCCTCCAACGGTCCACTCGTCGGACATATCCGTCAGAGTCAGATTGAAATAGTCCACCTTTGGGATCAAGCCAATTTCTCCACTGGTATGAACATAGACTACAAAGCCGTTAATGATATCGGCTTGAGTGAACGTGCCAGATGGAACTCCTTTCACCAGGATTTCCCCCAATGATGGCTTGTCCTCGACAATAAAAGTTAAACGGAGGTCATCGGTGTCCTCATCTCTTCCCTGAATGACATTACTTGTGATTTCTGTAGCTCCATTTTCCAGCACGTCTATGTAGGAGCCTATTGTACCAGCAGGGAGGCTGATAGTTGGCGCCTCGTCATCAATTGGCTTCACTGTAATCTTTATGGTTATAGGCACAATGTGCACCCCATCACTAACATCTATCTGTATGGAATCCAAAGTTGATTCATCTCCATTATGGATGTATGAAATAATCCCTTTTTGAATATCTTCAATGGTGAATATATGTCCTTTGGTCATGTAAGTGAATGAGAGCAGGATCTGCCCGTGCAGTGGAGGCTGTGTAACAGTGAAGGTTATTTTGTTGCTGTCTGTGTCTGTGTCTGAGGCATCCAACTCAGCTCCAGTGAGGACATGCCTTCCCCGTTCAAGCACGGTAAAGCCAGAGTTTTTTATTTGAGGTGGTTTGTTGTCCACAGGCTTTAAATGAATCGTAAAAATTCCCTCCACACTGTTTTCAGACATATCCTCCACAGTGAACCTAAACTGTAAAACACGAGGAGTAATTCCGAGTTCCAGGTCTGGTGGTTTGTAAGCTATTTTGTGGTGGTTAATTTGAGCCTGGGTGAAGGTTGTGACTTCAATGTTTGGATTTTCAGTCAATACCAGCGCTCCAAAAACAATAGGACTATTCTCATCTGTGTCTGTGGGTGGTTGGATGATTGTGTATTTGAGATCCCGATCCTCTGAGTCTAGATCTGTGTAACGGAGGAATTTTTTCCGGAAGTGGGTAAGGTGATACTCGTGTACAGTCATTTGTAAGGTTGTTTCGGGGTAAAGTTCAGGTGGGAGGTCATCAACAGGGATAATTTTGATGATAAATGAGGTCTGGTCTGACTGATTTGGGGGGTCATTGTCATCTTGCACTCTAAAAAAAAACTGATCCAAAATTATGTTAGTGCTGTGGGGCCCTATGTGCCTGTAGAACAGTTTTCCATCAGTAATATCCTGCTGCAGCCACTCAGTCACGACTTTCTCATACATTTCATCCTCTGTGTTGAACTTCCAGGTTGACGGGTCCTCTGGCGCCTCAGACTGGCGTAACATCACCTGGCCAAGTATGGAAAACGGATGCTCAATGGTGAATTTTATGGTGGAATCTTCTGAGTCAATGTCGGCCGCGCTGAGTATAAGTGAAGAGATTGGCATCATTTGGTTTTTGAATATCACCAAACCCATGTTAGCATTGATAATGGGAGGCTCGTCATCAGTTGGCACAACGGTGATCGGAAACAGGAACTCTACTTCATTTGTGCCATCGGTCATTTTGAAAATAATGTTATCACTGTATGTGTCACTACCATCATGCTGATAGATGACCACTCCAGCATCGAGGTCAGCAGGGGTGAAGAATTTCCTCCTTGAGCCCAAAACAGTTAACTCGCCATGCCTCAGTCCATCAATAACAGTAATAGTGACTTTTTCTAAATTATCCTCATCACTGATTTCCAGATTCTGTGAACTGGACAGAGGTCTGGACTGACCTTCGTACAGCAGCTGTCCAGTATTCCTTGTGACCACAGGGGCTAAGGTGTTCATCGGCTTAACAACAATCATGAAAGCAAAAGGGTCTGACACGACCCCCTCTGGGTCCACAACCTCAAACTCAATCTGGAAAATCCGCTCAGTGTCTGAATCCACAGCAGGAGGTTTATATGCAATTTTCAAATCTTTGAGGTCTCCTTGGTAAAAGGAGGTGATTGGTAAATTCCTGTCATCGGTGCTGACTATGTAGCCCTCCTCAAAGGACAGAGGGGAGGTGATGTTGAAAATTAATTCATCAGGATTAGACTCCACATCCTCTGCAGCCAGCATGTCGGTGGTTATTGCTGTCATCACGAACTGGTCCACTTCCATCATCATCATGGCAACAAAGCTGGGTTTGGGAGGCGTGTTGTCCTCTCCCTCTTTTATTCTCACCAAAATCTGGAAGAATTCCTGCTTGAGCAGATTCCCCTCTTTGTCATGCAACTCCACCAGCATGGGGATGTAATCCCTGTTGGGAGACTTCAGAGTAAAAGTGTGTTGATAACGGATGTTCATTTGGATAAAAGCATCGCAGTCCACCATCGTGGCGAGGCGGTCCTCGTCCATAAGTTTGCCGTACCTGGGGAGCACGCTGCCACTGGAGAGGGAGGCGATTTTGCACTGCTGTGCGCTTCTATCAAACGTGAATTCCAACACTCTGCCGTCAATGGGGTTACTTGAGCCGAGCAGTCTGTCCACAGTGAGTGGCATGTTTTTGGTGAGCAGCTCCAGCTGCGTAAAAATGACTTCCACCTCCATCATGAAAGGGATTATTATTGTGTCCGTTTGGGTGTCATACCTGAGCTGTAACCTCACCCGGTCCCTCGGCGGACTCCTGGAGCCGAAGTGAGAATACTTCACGTCGTTGGGGCCGAATTCACAGGGAAACTTTTTCGGATACAGGTGTCCGGGCGTTTGGGACAAAGGGTCGTTGTCCAAAACTGTTAAGCTGCATCTGTCACCGGGCTGAACTTGGATGACCAAATCGTTAATCGGATCAATAAAAACGGATCTCCCGAAAGGCACGCGGATCCCGTTATTGGCAACCAATATCGTGTCTTCAGAAAGCTCAGACCTCAGGGCGTAGGATAATCCGTAGCTGTCAAAACCCGGTGCGGCCGCATCACCTGTCAGAATGAGCGCCAGCAGGAGCCAGGCAGCAGCAGCAGCACCGGTCCCGGGCAGATGCGGGGAGATGAGCAGAGCCATTTGGAGAGCGGGGACGCGCTGAACTTTACGCACGCACTCCGGAAAACCTGCGCGCCTCGGTTAAAGTTTCAGGGGCGAAGAATCCTCTGCGCACCCGAGAGCACGAAGGTGCACCATCCTCCCCCAGCAGTTGTGCGCTGTTCAGCTCAACTTCATACTCCTGCCTGGCTGGAGTAGGGAGAGGCACGCCCTGCTGCCAGCCCATTGGTCCGTCTCACGGATGGAATGCGTTTGTCAAGTTTTAAATGGACGTGGCTGGTGTCATTCCGGGAGAAGAAATCCAAGTCGTGTAGGACGAGGTGTTTATGGTTGACCAAAGAAAAAATAAATGAGGTGAGGGGATGTTTGGAGGAGATCCTGTCTTTTTTTTTTATTCTGCCTGGAGCGTGAATTGCTGTCGAAATTGGCTTTGAATGGAAATTTAGAACGCTTGGAGCAGATAAAAAATATATATTCTCACATTTTACTAATATTAATCCAGAATGCTGTTAAATAAAAGAAAGCAAGTCGAAGAAAACCTATTAACCATAGATGCATTTTTAATATAACTGACTGGAACAGATCTTTGTCTCCCTCTGCTGGGTTGAATGTTTGGAGGGATGATGTCTACCTCTACATTTCAGCCCTGATTTTTAACCCGTTTACTCCTCGATCTGTTAACAAAACTCTATTGCATCATTTGTCACAGGTCTAGAGATGAACTCCTTATTTTTTATTTAAGACGCTGCAGATATTTGAGTCAGTGTTGCAGTACAAAATATGTCTCCACTGCCATTATACAGAGCTCATGAATTTGTCAAAAGTACTCCATCACATCGACATATTCCACCCCACTTACAGTTTCTTCATGAGCAGATATAGCTTTTTTTGAGTCGTGCACTGGGCATTGTCCTATTTCTTTTTGTCCTTCAGGTGTCAGAAACTTTTCCAAGCAGAGCGTTCCCCTCTGGCTCTCACCAAGCCCAGTCATGTTCAACTTCCTCCTGCAGCACTTTCTGTGCAAGCAGAACCAGTGTTGATTAAGAACAAACACCCACACAATTACTTGGCAACACAGCAGGGCACGTCAAAATGACTGAATTACAGTATGTTAGCAGCTAATTCGATTTGGACCCAAAACCCAGTGCCGCAAAACCAGATAAGAAGTGCACACAGAGAAGAGATTCAAATATGTCGAAGGCGCATTCAAGATGAGCTAGCAGATGAAGAAAGGAAAAATCCAAATTGTCTAATGCCATTTGCACTGTTATTACACTTGAGTAACATGTCAGCAAAACAAGAAAAAAATCTATCAAAACAAGAATAAATATCACAAATATGGTATCATTTGTACTGCAGGTATATCTATTTTGGACGCATCATTAAACTTATATATATGGACAAACGCACATAAATAAACACACACACATAAACACACACACATATATGTGTATATATGTATATATATATATACAGAGATAGATAGATAGATAGATAGATAGATAGATAGATAGATAGATAGA